ATTAATTTATTATAAAAAATATATTAACTTAATAAGTAAAATTTATTAATCAGGCAAAAATGTTAAAATTTTTTTGTTAAAAAATAATATTTTTTTCTTATTAAAAATAGGAATTTAGTGTGTAATTATACTATTATAATTTATTTTATTTTATTTATTTTATTATTATTTTTATAAAATTAATAATTTTAATAATAAAAAATATATAGAATACACTTAATTATTTTTAAATATATTTTGTTTAATCATTTAATGTTGAACAATAACCATTAACTATTATACAATTAAACAATTATATTAATCTAATATATTATTTATTATCTACTATCCGCTTTTTATTATCTACCACATACTATTCGCTAATCGCTATTCGTTACCACTATCTACTATTTACTACTCGCTACCCACTACTCATTGTTCGTTATCTGCTATTTGTTGAATTTTAACCACCATACCAAATAGGCTCTTAGTTCCTCAACTTGTTTATGCACTTTTTTGGCTCCTCAACTATAAAAAATATTTTTTTTTAATTTTTATGTTAGTTAATTCGTTAAATATGTCCATATATGCACATTTTTAGTCAATGAACCTTTAAGTTAAGGAACAAAAATTGTATAAAATCCTAAAATTAAAGGACTAAAAATGTATATATATAAAGAAACTTAATGGACTAACTAATTGAATAACTAAAAAAATACATTTTTCATAATTGAGGAAAAAAAAGTGCATAAAAAAATTAAGGATCAAAACTATATAAAACACTAAAATTGAGGGACCAAATTGGCATTAACTTAGTTTTTTCTTTTCCTTTCTAATTAATTGGTTTTCATCATTGTTACTTATTAGGTCTCAATCGAAGGATGCAATTGTTGAAGGTGGAAGTACTCCATTTGAAAGGGTCCATGGAATTCATGCCTTTGAATACGCTGCCAAAGACTCCAGATTCAATCAAGTTTTTAATAATGCAATGATCAATTATACCGCTATTGGTATCAAGGAGATCCTTGAGTCCTACAAAGGATTTGAGCACCTCACCCGATTGGTTTAGGTTGGTGGTGGTCTAGGAGTCACTCTCAACTTCATCACTTCCAAATACCCTTCCATCAAGGGAATTAATTTTGACTTGCCTCATGTTGTTCAGCACGCCCCTCCTTACCCCGGTATGCAACATTAGAGATTACAATATTAGCATGTGTCAAGCTTCTTAATTTATGTCTCCCGCACTCTGTTTAAGCATAAATTGCATGTAGGGGTTGAACATGTGGGAGGAGATATGTTCCAAAGTGTTCCTAAAGGAGATGCCATACTTGTGAAGGTGGGTGATGAATTTGCTTTCTACTACACCAAGAAAAACTACTTGTCAATACATTATTTTAAATTCAAACGTAAATCTTTGAAGATGTAATATTTTGGAAATGAATTTGTAGTGGATACTACATGATTGGAGTGATGATCTTTGTGTTAAACTGTTGAAAAATTGTTACGATACCACACCTGACAATGGAAAAGTAATCGTTGTGGATGCAATCGCCCCAAATTTGCCCAAGAAAGATATTGCTTCAATTGCCATTGCTCAGAGGGACGTGTTTATTATGATTAAAAACCATGGAGGGAAGGAAAGGATACAGCATGAATTCATCGAGTTGGCAACTAGAGCTGGATTCGGTGGCATCAAATATGAATGTTTAGTGTTTAATACCTGGGTGGTCATGGAGCTTCTTAAGTAATATATTATGTGGTGGAAACACACCCCAATTTAAGATTTAAAAAAATAATAATATTAGAGGTCATACGCTCAATCTTGTTATAATATAAGAAAAGTTTAAACACAAAAAATAAAAGATTTTACACATAATTAAGTCCTAATT